ATCGAATTTGCTTTTCGGAAATCTTCGGATGTTTACGTTCGTTCATGTTCTGTTCGGAACTTTTCAAAAAATTCAATTTAAGTGTACGACAAAGGTTTTTTGCATATATTCAGGGATTCGGATCTAACTGTACCTAGAATGCCTATTAGAAATGAAAATGCGCTCTTTAAAATTCTCTTTTTAATGATACAGACACTCAATATTATTGGTCCACTGGGTGCTTTATTTTCTAATAAGACCTAATACGTTTAACTTCAATTGGACTAACATTGTGAACTATTTTTAACTCAAAAAGTTTTTAATCATAGCTACCATAAAGTTAAAATGTCAATGAAGTTAAGACCTACGCATGAAAGAGTATATGCGCTCTCCCGTATTTTAAATAGCTCTAATATCATTTTTTTTAGAAATTGCACATCAATAAGAAATTAAGAGGGGATTCAAAATGAACTGAATTTTATTGGGCACTACTTTTAGTGTTGGTCCATTGACTGTTAATACACCAACTAGAATTTATATTAAACAGATTTTGCCAGACATGCCAATTTTATTAATTAATTAAGATATCGATATGTATCAGTATCGTTTTAGTAAAATACATGATGATCCTTAAGCGTCTTGTGCGTACGTACGTACGTAGGTAAATTTACTTGCAAATTATCACGAGCAATATGTGATTGACTTATCTAACTACAGTATATTGAATTATTGTACATGTTTCAAACTTCATGATAATGGGGATAATGAAAATTATAAAAAAAAAAAAATAGGATAAAGAATTTTTCCTTCCTACTTACAACCTTAAGTTATATATGGTTGAAGATTTAAAAAAGATCCATTGCATATATAAAAGTAAATGCGTAGATATTAAAGATTTAAGAAAAAGAGAAACATATTTAAGCTTATTTCTTAAAAAAAAAAAATTCATATCAAAAGCGTGAGCCTGAAATAATAACGTCCGGTAATGTCTGATTTTCTATTTCTTGTGCTCCAGCATTACTGGGAAATGGATTCGCACCTTTGGCTAAAATTTCATATTTTTGTTTGGCAGTAAGATCATCGAAGGATGAAGTTACGTTTTGAGGTACCAAAGGCTGACCTCCAACTGCTTGATTTGCAGGTTGATTCATAATATCAATTTTTAGAATTTTTATTGAAGGTTTTGCCTTGAATAAAAAAGAAGACGAAAGCAAATTTTGGGGGTTTATAGCATGCACAGTAAAAAATTGTTCAAAAGTTTTTTATTTAAAGGAAAATTTACTAAACAGCGAAAGTTATAAGCCGCGTATCTTTTTTAAAGAAATATATATTAATATATATATATTGTAAAGACCAAAGAAAATTTGGTGGTTTATAAATTTTTTCTCCATTTTTTTTTATATTGTGTGATCTTAGTTTGAAAAAAACATACCGAGTAAAAGCGTATAATGATTGATTGTAAAATATCATAAATAATATGAATTATATATTAGGTCCTATATACAATAAAAGATGTTTGATGCGTAATGTTTAGTAATTCATTATAAAACCATCACCAATCTTATTTCGTAATATTTAACAAATGTATTTATCGAGTATTTAACAAATATATTTATCGAGTCATACCACCTTATTTTTTTTTGAAATTTTGATCTCCTTTTATCTTTTAGTAGTAGTACACGGATAAATAATCCAAATTTATTCTTATTTAACAAATGTATTTATCGAGTCATACCACCTTATTTTTTTTTTGAAATTTTGATCTCTTTTTATCTTTTAGCAGATAAATAATCCAAATTTAT